CCCTGGAGGCGGGACACAGGCTCACTCCCTGGGAGATATTGCAGCTGACAAGACACATGGAACTACCCTAGTGCCCTGAGCTGGGGGAGCCATGTGGAGACCGCCAGCCAGTGCTGAGATGCTTGAGATGCCACTGGATCCACAAGACTTCCCACCCACTGGCCCCTGAGCTTCCTGCATTTGGCATTGCATGTGTTTCCTGAGTCTGATTGGTATCAAACATATGGGCTAATATCAGACTTATGGATTTGGTCTGGACTGGGCTAGGATGCTTTCTTAATGTACAATGACTCTTTAGATAAAGCTCTTCCATATTCACATATGTCTATGCATGTTTCTCTACTCTAATCTAACACAACCACTATGTCGAAAAGTTTTTCTCATCACTCCAAGTAAAATAAGACCCCACTGCCCTAATGCTCCTGAACTCTTGGTAATCATTAACACGTTTGCCTCCAAGGATTTTCCTACTGGAGAGATTTCAGATGTTTGATCATGCACTATTCATTGCGTCTTACTGGACTCAGCAGAATGTTTTCAAGGTTAATCCATGCTGTGGCATGTGTCGGAACTTCATTCCCCGATGATGTGGATATTCTGTTGCATGGAAATGCTGCATTTTGTGTGTCTACTCTGTTAACAGACTTACACTGCTTCCACCTTGTGGCTTTTGCAAAGCGTGCTACAATGAGCAGGGGTTCCATTAGTGTCCTGGAGTCCCATGGTGGTTCCCAGGAGCGGAGTGACTGGGCTCTGTTGTAACTGTATGTGTTTAGCTTCAGAGGGGCCTCCATGGTGGGATCATTTTGTATGCGCACCAGCAATGCCCGCGGGCTTGATTCTCCACAGCCTGGCCAACCCTGCTGCTTAATAGCAGCCGGCAAAAGTTTCTTCGTATCCTCCACCAACCCTCAGAGAAAGAAAATGAGCAGGGGGCCACGGTCACAGGGCCCTAACTGGCTGGGCCTAGTCTCAGTTCCATGGTATGGCCTGGTGACCACATGGCTGGGGAGACAGGCCTGAGTGTAGCACCTCAGGGTGCTGAGCTTGGGTGACACCCCTTTGTGGGGGAATCTCCTTTCTTTAGTGAGAGTATAGGAATGGAGTGAGGGCTCAGACCCACTAAGCCGGGGGTGAGCCAGCTACTCTGAGTGTTCAGACCCTCACCCTCAGATGTCTGCTTGATCCTGACTCAGTTACCTGTAGGGCAGAGGACTGCGCCAGAGGGCTTCTAAGGCTGTAATCTTTATGCAAGCAGACTGTCACAGCCTTCTCCTGTCCTCATGTGCCATTCCATGGCAAAATCTGATGTCTCCGATCCAACCAGGGACTGAGCATCACCATGTATGGGGCAAGCTGGCGTCACACATCTGCTGGGAGACCCTAGGGGTCACATACACAAGCCTGACCGAGGTTCTCCTGATCTACAAAGCAGAACTCAACCAGCCCTTTAAAACCAGGCCGAGTTTGCGGGAAGCACGGGAGACAGAAGAACCAATCAGGTTGTAGGGCTTCCCCAGGACTTTTCAAAAATGCAGGAGAAGGTGGGTGGAGGATTAGGCAATTCTAGAAGAGGCTTATGAGACATAACTGAAGGAAATACATGAGCCTAGATTTGAGCTTCATTAACAAAGGCTATGAATGATATTTGGGGGACATTCCTATATAGTTATTAGATTTTAGGGAATCATTGCTTTGGGACAGGTAAGCAGGGCTGTAGTTATATAAGCTCACTCGTAGGCGAGGCAAGATTCAGCACTTAGAGGTGAAGGGTCATTAGCAGATGAAGACTCCAGGAGTGGGCGGGTCAAAGCTCTGGGCTCTTGCTGGAGCTGCCAGGGCTGGGGCGCCGCTGACAGACCGCAGGGTCTGGGACAGGGCTGGTTCCCATGACAATGGTTTGTTGTTTGTGATTTAAGGCCGTTGACCTTCCAAACCTGTGACCACAGAGGGAAAGTTGGCTGAAATAGTCTAAGGAAAACTCTACCTACGGATCAAGGGGAGCAGCTGGCCTCACTGTTCTGATTAACCTGAATCACCCCCATCCAATTAAGGCCCGACATGCAATGCGGTGTGCTGCGTTGCCATAGCTTGACTGGTCACCCTTGTGGTAAGAAGTTGAAACAAAAAAACCCAAACTCACGGCCATTGGGTCCATACCGACTCAGGGACCGTATAGGACATGGTAGAATCAACCCTGTGGGTTTCCAAGGCCATAACTCTTTACAGGAGTAGAAAGCCCAGTCTTTCTCCCTGGGAGCCACTGATGGTTTTGAAGTGCAGCCCAATGCATTAACCACGATGTTGATGGCCCCTTCCCGGCAAGCCCACGTGCGTTTGGGGTTTCCCTGACCCTCCTCCTGGGGCCACTTTGCTATTCACAACAGGAGACAAACTGTCGAGGTCATGAAGGCAGTAAGCCAAAAGCTGCTAACGCTGGCCAGGCCACCAAGTCTGCTCAGATAAATATAATCCGTTAACACCTGTCATCATCAGTGGTAGGACAGGCGCAGAACTAGGTCTCAATTGGCCACTTTAACCTTTAAAGACTGGCTAATGATAACAATCTTCTTCAGCTGATGAAGATCAAGGGTTACAGCTGTCAGTATGGGTTACATCATCAAGATATATGGAGAAAAGGTTGAAGTCAAGGATTTCATTTTGCTTGGATTCACCATTGACATTCACGGAAGGGCAGTCACGAGATGGAAAGGTGGGTTGCATTGAGTGAATCTGTTGCACAAGACTTCTTTTCAAGTGCTGAAAAGCAAGGATGTCACGTTGAGGACTGAGGTGCACCTGACCCACGCCAGGGCATTTCAATCACTTCATATGCATGCGAAAGTTGGACACTGAATAAGGACCGAAGAATTGGTGCGTTTGAATCGTGGTGCTGGTGAAGAGCATGGCGGGTACCATGGACTGCCAAAAGGACCAACAAGAAGTGTGTCTTGGAAGAAGGCCAGAGTGCGCCTTAGAGGCAAGGATGGATGGACTTTGTCTTACTCGTACATATTTTGAATATGTTGTCAGACCAGTCCCTGGAGAAGGACAGCACACTGGGAAAAGGGGAGGGGCAGAGAAAAAGAGGAACACTCTCAACAGGATGGATGACAGCGGCTGCCACAAGGGGCTCCAGCATGGGACAATGGTGAGGATGGCGCGGGACCTTGCAGTGTTTCCTTCTGCTGTGCATGGGGTCACTACAGGTCGGAGCCGGCTGCACGGCTCCCAGCAGCAACTGCCCATCTTAAATTGTCCAGAAGCAAAGGGATGGTTAGTGGACCATTTGTTTCTTTTTGGACTGGGGGTTTTTAAGTTATTAATTTTTAAAATCAGGACTTTTACAATGGAAATTACTTTACCAAAAAATGTGTCAAATTTGAGACCCAAGAGTTGTATGATCCCCCAATAAAACGATTTTTTTTAAAAAACTGAGACCCATTAAAATAAAATTTACTGGGGGGAGGGGTGCGGGGTGAATGATGAGTTAGACCAGGGGTTCTCAAACTGCGGCCAGCGGACCTCATGCAGCCCGCCGATGACATTTATCTGGCCCCCCGGGTGTTTTTGCCCCATTTTGTTTTTTTACTTCAAAGTAAAATATGTGCAGTGTCCATAGGAATTTGTTCATAATTTTTTTTTAAACTATAGTCCGACCCTCCAACGAGTCGGAGGGACAATGAACTGGCCCCCCGTTTAAAATGTTTGAGGACCCCTGAGTTAGACCCTGTGGCTTACTCTCAAATCAAAGAGTTATTCCGACAGGCTCTGATTCACACACGCAAGGAATCATTCTCCACAGACGTGTCTAAACATGTCTCTGTGATCAGGGGAGGGCCGGGCACAAGTTCTCACAGTGCAGCCTTTGTCTTAAGTCTCACTCAAAAAGTAAACTCATTGCCATTAAGTCGATGCCGATGGACAGGACAGGGTGGAACTGCCCCTATGAGTTTCCCAAACTGTAACTCTCCACAAGAGGAGAAAGCCCCATCTTTCTCCCTTCATCTCACAAGGGTACCTTAAACAAAAAGGTTCAAATTAAAACTGTGGCTTCCCAGAGGGTCAGACGTGCTGGTGAAATCCCAGGCAGAGGACATGTGGCTCAGAAGGTATGGCGGTACAACGGTTTCTGGAGGGAATCTCAAAGATACTATCTCACAGGACAAGGGCGATCACAGAGGCTTCCAATAAACTTTTTAAGAGAACAGAAAACTACCTTGGGGAAGAAAACAACCCCTTCCCTGGCACTGAGTGTGTTCCACAACACAGCAACCCTAGAGGGTATCGGCAGCTGTAAATCCCCATGGAGCAGACAGCTTCATCTTGCTGGTGAAAAGGCTAGGAAATTTTCACGGAGAAATTTTTTTTTCCTTCATTGTGACAATGCACCGGCTCATTCTTCTACGGTAGCAAGGGCGGTCTTCAGAGAATTCCACTGGAAAGCTTCACCCTATACACTCTACAGCCCTGATCTTGTCCCTTCAGCCTTTTTTGTCCTCCATGTTCAAAGCACATTGCAAAGGAGCATGGTTGGAGCTCCTTGAGAAGGCCAGTCTGTCATTGTGACTTGGTGCGGATCAGAGCACAAGACTGGGGGGAAGGATTAGTGAGCTGGAAACACCTCTCTCAGGTGTGTGCAGTCGTAGATGGAGGGCATGTCGGAAGAGTAACTTCATTTTGATATTTTTGTTGAATACAGGGATGTATGCTTTTGGAACAAGACCTTTTGACTGACCTATGAAATGGTGCAACACGTTCACAGCAGTTGGATCTATGAGAGGATATGCTTGCAACACTCCTCTTTCCATAGCTTTGGTGTACTCATGAACTCGTCCAAAACCAAAACACTGGAAGAAACTTAAAATCAATCAATCAATCAATAAAAACTGCCCTGGCACTTCATCCGGCCACCATGTACAGGAACTCGCTAGACTGCCCCCCCTCCCCCAACCCGAGTAACCCCACCAAGATGAACGACTCTGAGGCATGCCAGGAAATGAATATAAATTAAAGGTTTAATTACAAAATGCTAAATGTTAAGTTTCTCATTGTCAGCGACTTAAGAAAAGGAGACTATGAACTCTGGATGGAGGTGGAGCCAGGGCACAAGCCAGGCTCAGGAGCGCCCTGACAGGCACTGGTTCACAACCTCCAGCAGGTGGGCGTTCTCTAGCGCTGCTGCTACCCGCTCCTTATCCGCAAGCTGCTTGTTGAC